ATTTTATTTTTATAAATTATGTGTCTTTATGAAAAGTAATTTTATTTAAATTAGATAAAATTTATTAATAACAAAGCTCTCATTCTCTAAATACTTAATACAATTGTACAAATGAGCATGTTTTAGCTAAAATTGACAGTTTTTTTTGGCAATTTTATTAGTATGTATTATTTCTTAAATTTAATTCTTATAACTATGGGAATTCTAACATATTAAATAATTATTATTTTAATTTAGATAATAAAATAATGTAAAAATAAATTATAATTTATCGAATCATTTTAAAAATATTGTTCTTATATGTAGGGATGACTGAAAAAATAATTCACATTTACAAATACATTTAAATGTGCAATTAATAGAAAATGAATAGTTTGATGGGTGCTTAGTTAATAATAGAGTGGAACAAGTAGTATAAAATACTCGTATTTGCATATATCTACTTAATATATATATATATATATATAAAAGGATGGATCCGTTTATTTTAAGAGTAAGTCAATCTAAACTTACTCTGTTGAATAACTCATGTTATACATCAAATTTCAATGATCCAACCATTGAGTTTAAAATTCTTAATTCATAGATCAAATCTGCAAAATTTTAAAAAATTTGAAAATCATTTGATACTTCGTTTCATTAATTCAAATCAATGTATAAAATTATTTTATGATTATCTATCAATTTGAATTAATGAAACGAAGTATCAAATGATTTTCAAATTTTTTTAAAAATTTGCAGATTTGATCTATGAATTAAGAATTTTAAACTCAACGGTTGGATCATTGAAATTTGATGTAGAATATGAGTTATTTAATAGAGTAAGTCTATGTAAACTTACTCTTGGTGTAAATGGATCTTCCTATATATATTATATATATACAAAGAGAGAGAGAGAGGAATTACTTATCATAAGAGTAACTTTTGGTAGAGTTATTCTACTCAAATATAATTCATACTCTATATTGAATTTCAATCATCCAACAAATGAATTAAGAGTCCTTAATGAATAGATTAAGTCTACAAAATTTTGTAAAATTTGAAAACTATATGATATTTCGTTATATTAAATCAAATGGAAATATATTTTTAAAAGTATATTATATAACAATATGATGAAACATCAAATGGTCTTCAAATTTTGTAAAAATTTGTAGACTTAATCTATTCATTGAGAATTTTTAATATAATGGTTGAACTATTTAAATTTAATATAGAATATAAGTCATTGAGAGAAATAACTCTTCTAAGACTTATTTTTGGAGTAAGTAGATCTCTCTCTCTACACACCCATATATATGAAGAGGGATTAACTTACTCTAAGAGTAAATCTTAATAGACTTACATTACTCAATAACTCATGATCTATATCAAATTTGAATGATCAAACTGTTAAACTAAAATTTTTTAATGCATAAACAAAATTCACAAATTTTTAAAAAATTAAAATTATTTGATACTCCATTTTATTAATTCAAGTTGACATATAAATTCAAAAACATTTAATACGTTAATTTGAATCTATATAATTAAGTTGGTGGAGACACACATATATGATGCATAATTGGTGTTAATAGCATGATATGAAAGGCTGGTTGGAATAAAGAGCTTGTGTTATGTGGTAATAGAATTTGCATGTCATGTTCGTAGCTTTTGGAAAAGTTAATGGTGCTACAATTTTAAGTACAACACCCACAAACTATATGATGGCTATGTTAATATCATATTTTCTGTCTTCTAAAAAATAAACACTTGTGTCGGTTATAATAATTTATCATACTCTACTTAAGTAAGTAGAAAATATATTTTTATCCATACAAACACATAATTAAATTTAAATGGTTATTAACCAAAATCACCTAAAAACTAGGGGAGAGTTAAAAATATGTTTAAAATTATATAAAAAAATATATATTGGAAATTGTCATAATTATTATGAGCAAATGAAATGTGTAATTCTTCTTTATTAATGGCACTAGATTTGCTTATTTATATAATCCAATCTATGAATTTTGTCTCACTAAATTTAACTACATAAAATTTATGAAACATGAAACTTGATTAATGTTTAAATAACCAAAAAAAAAAAAGAATTCTAAATATGATAAAAAAAAATATGTAAAAAGTGAGTCTCATAAATTATTAAAAAAAATTACTTTAATAGATTTCATTGCTTTTATGTAATATATCTAATCAAACAAGTTTCACAAATCAGTCAAAACAAAACTAAAATTACATTCTAAAATTGAAAATGAAACCTTTAAAATGAAATTTTAAATTTAATTTTTTTTAAGGTAAACGATCAAAAATATATTTTGACCTAAAAGATATTAAGTTATTATAAATAAAAAAATATACTTATCTACATTATATATAAATGGAATGTGCACTTTTGGTGTACACATTTTTATATCTAATTTTACTGCAATAACTACTCCAAAAATCACTTATATATATATATATATATAATAATAATAATAATAATAATAATAATAATAATAAATGTTTAGTGTCTTTTTTCTCTAATAAATAAAATAATATTATATATAAAAGAAATACATGCTTTTGGTATGCACATTTTTGTGTCAACTTTATCTCTATGATTATCCTAAATTAGTATTCTTTGTTTTTCCATTACTATATTTTACGATAAATTTAATAAAAAGTATTTTGTTCTGTAATTTGACTCATTTTTGGATCTTACTATTAAATCGTAATTTGTAAATTTTATATCATAGTTTACAATTTTATGAATTGGATATTTTGGTTAATCATGTATATTTTATTAAATTGTAGTTTGTAAACTTTATATCATAGTTTACGATTTCATGAATTGGATATTTTGGTTAATCATGTGTAATCTTTCATCGGTCATAACTATGTAATTATCATTTTTAAGGATCAATTATAACTAACTTATTATTAGATTTTGTGTTAATTTATTAGTTGTCAAATAAAAATAATTTTGAAATTTATATAAACATAAATTGAAAATTTTAGAAAAATACCACAGCAATCTAAATATTTTTTTCAAATAATTATTTTATCTAGTACCTTAATCATCAAACTCCACATGTAGATAACCAAACTCCACATGGAGTAGAAGAAGGTCAATTGAGATCATGCTAAAATCGTCCGACTCACAAAGGTTTCATTCATTGAACTTCCTCATAACATCCTTTTGAACAAACACCTCTAAATTCACTTGTATGAAGCACAAGTGCAACACCAATGCATACTTATCATCTGCCATTTTTTCTTGTTAAGCCATACCAATTTAAATTCATTTCTAAATATTATTAATCTTTGTTGTCAGATGACCAGAAAATGGTAACTAACAAAAGATCATGCCATCCTTATAAAAGTATGAATAACTCGATTAACTTGTATTTAATCGAGTTGTTAAATTTTCCTATTTAATTATGGAAACTTCTGATATTAAACTTTTGTAACAATTTTGAAACTTTAAAAAATAAAATAAAATACTCTGGAAATTAATTGTTAAAAAATCGAGTTGGTAGACGATGAGGCAAAATATTCTCAGACTTCTTCATTGCTAAAAAATATATTTTACATCAATACAATTTAGAACATTTCTGTCTTTCAATAATAAAAAAGTACAGTAATGTAATTTACTTTAAATTAAATAAATTTCACAGCTAAGACTAGTAATAAAAATACATTATTGTTTATTTATGATTCTTTAACAAAGAGTGTTAATAACCCACTTTCTCTACCCATATGCCGGTGACTAGTATCTTAGTAGCTTAGACTCTTTAAGAGTATGACAACCGTGTGACCCATGATTCGGTGGGTAGAGCAACCCCTATTATTAAGTAAAGGACAACAGTTGCTCGACATATTGAAGGATGTTTTCGATAAGAGTGTGAGACTACATAATAACCACATTAAAATTATTTTCAGTTACTTAAAAACTCATGACTTGATTATTTGAACAATTCATATAACTTGAGTAGGGTGCAAATGTGGACGTCTGATTGTCATAATTCCTAAATTGTTTGTATATTTCTCTACCCTGCCTTAGTAGTTAAGGCTTATTGGAAGTAATGCTTAAAAGTAGCCTTCCCCTTCCACTGACAGAATAGCAATCCTTAATAATTAATTTAAACAATTTTTTTTACATTAGACAATTACTTTAAAACAATGATTTAGACAACACTCTTCAATTAAAAGTCCAACTTTTAAGTAACAATTTTAAAACATGTGATCTACAAGATGTTCACTTGCTTGAGATCGAGGGAACACCAAATCTTCCAGACAGAGGGGGCGGGGAATGCTGCTGAGATTTTCTGCAGCAAAACTGCATACATGCCAAACAAGTGAATTTCCACTTAGCTGAACCAAACTATGAAACAAACTACCCCTGGCATAGAATATTCTGCTGTGGCTAAGCAACTTCAAGCCATTAAAGTAATCAGTAACCATTCCTCAGAAAATTCCACCTCCCCAAATAAATCCAACTTGTTATTTTCCACAAACTAGAAAATATAAAGTTGAGCAGTGCTCATAAAAAACAAATAAGTAATCGGAAAGATTTACTTGCAATGTTATTAATAAAAAAGCAATATCATATCCATTAAAATAATATATATATATATATAAAGATAAACATAAGTTCACACTGGCAACCCTTACATGATCCTAGTGGTTGATGCAATGGCACAAGACAAAAGTGCTCATTGATTGGATAATTTGCTCATCAACCCCAAATTGTCTGTCTCTCATTTTGTGCAACTCATGATGCAATAATGTTCCATTTCTATTAGTAATTAAAGAGAATTTGTGAAATAAGACATGACAAATTGTTACAATCCATCCAGCATGACCCTCTATACCATTCAACCTAGCACAACTGCATACATTCATGCAGACTCATAACATTCATGTGTAAGAAAAGATTCATAACATTCCATAAGAAGACTCCACATTCACTCATTTGTAAGAAGTTATTGCTTAATGAAAATGCAACATAAAGCTTGTACTTTTAAACCCTATTCATCCATTACACATAGCACTAAAAGAGCAAGAATCACACAACTAGGCTTCAAATCTGAATCAAAACCAAAAGAAAACCGAGCTTCACAAATCACAATCATAAAAATTAAAACCCGTCTCAAGTGCTGCAATCTTAAAGTGAAACCAACTTTATTTCATTTAAAGAGCAGTAGCAAATCATGAGAAGCAGGAAACAAAACATAAAAACTACAGCGGTGATACATTCATCAATCCAATACCAACTTCAGTAATCTACATACATATACATATATAAATAGCTATATACCATTAGAGTGAATCGAAACAGCCTTAGAGTTGCAAACCTCAAACTCAGTAATCTACTCGGTAATCGCTGAAATCGTCGCGGGCGACGTCGTTCTCGACCCTCTCGGCGATTCTGTCCTCTTCGTATTTGAGTCCCTCTTCGAGAGCGAGGCCGCCGAGGGCTCCAGCAACAGCGCCAACAGCGAGGCCAGTACCGAGGCCCAATTTGGGAGCCCCCTTGGGCTTGGGGTCGTAGGCGGAGGAATAGTCGAGAGGGGCGGAAGGCCCAGTGGGCCCAGCGTAGCGGTCAAAGAAGGGCCTGGGGGGGGGGGGGGGGGGGGGGGGGGCGCCAGAATAATAACCGGGGTAGTATCCAGCATAGGAGTCAGGGTAAGAAGTGTAGGAAGAGTAAGGAGGGGGGGGCGGGGAGTAGCCTCGGTAGCAGAGGAAGTTAGGGTTAGTGTTAGGGTTAGGGTTTGGGTAATCGAGGGATTGGGGGCGGGGGAGGAGGCCGAGTTTGAGGTGGATCTTGCCGTGGGGACGGCCGGAGGGGCGGGAGAGGGGGAACTTGCGGAGGCGGGAGGAGTCGTGGAGGTCGTGGAGGTCTTTGAGGGGGAGGCGGAGGGTGGCCACCAGGGGTTTCGGGGTGTCGGAGGGTTTGGAGTGGAATATCTCGAGGGTGAGGGAGGAGTCGTGGAGGGGGAGAGGGAGAGGGAGAGGGAGGGCGAAGCGCTCGTTCCAGACGGGGGAGGTGGACCCGGACTCGTCGGATTTCGTCGCCAGCCGCCGCTCAGGGTCCACCCAGAACACCACGTATGCCTTCAGATCGCCGTTCTTCCAGTTCACGTTCTTCAGGTGCTTCGCCGACACGATCGTCAGGTCCAGATCCACTGATTTCGACGGAGGGGGACGCGATGACGCCATTTTTTCTTTGCTTCCTCGCTCGCTCGCAGTCGCAACTCCCAGTACGCTCAGAAAAGAAGCAGATCAGATTTTTTTATTTGTTTTTTCAATCACTGTTTTGTTATCCACTTCCTTTGGTTTGGTGCTTCTTTTTTACTTATCAATATATGTATAATTAAACATAAATTAACATAGTACTTAAACATAAAATTATATTTATTTTTTAATTGAAGCCGTGTCCTTTACGCAAAACTACGGCTAGTTGGCTTGCATTCTATCCCACCGTTACAACTAGTATTAAGATATATACTAGATAGGTATCCTAAAGTCATATTCAAAAAGTAAAAGAATAACTTGGCAATTTATTAGGTATGGTGAATCGCTGATGGGACAATTTAAGGGGTTTGGCTTTCTCACTCTTCGTCTATCCAATTGCAAAGTATGAAACGGCTTCGAGATCAGATTTCGAATAACTAATAAAGATAAAAGATTAAAATCTTAAGCCCTAATCTACATTGTTTAACGAAGAAATGTGTGGGAAATGGTACCAAAAGAAATACAAAATTACCTTGTATAACGAAGAAATATGTGAGAATAGCATCAAAGGTAATTAAAAAAAATTAGTTAAATGAAAATAATTAAGTAAGAAAAATAGAATACAGATTAAATATTTATTTTAAGAAACATGAATAGAAAATAAAAAATAATAATATTATAATTATTTGGTTTGAATTTAAAAAAGGACAAATTTATAATATAAACAAATTTACTAATTTATCTTTCTAAAATTAATTATATAAGATATTTTCATAATTAATTTTTAATTGATTAAGAGACTAATAAAAAATATAAGGACTTTCGTGACATTATTCGAACATTAAATATAATCAATTGATTGCACTCAATGAATGAGGCATTTCAATTACTTGTAATTAACTAAGCATAAACTTTAATTGATTATAAGTAATAGGTTATTCGTGCATTTTTGTAATTATTTAAACATGAAATTTGCTTAATCAAGTACAACAAGTGCAATGACTAATTTAATTGCTTGTAATTAATTAAAATACTAAAGTTGTATTACATTTAATGTTGCAGGGAGGGACACCTTTTAACCCTCATACATAATCACAATAATAGAAATAATAATAATAGTTTGAAAATACTTCCTTTAATAATTAAAAATTGAGAATAAAATATATGACATTCAAAACTCAAGAAATAACATGACTAAAACTAAAGCGATTACAAGGAATAATAAATAGTGCAAAAACATTTTCTAAAAACAAGAACTAGCATTCTAATGCAAGAATAGTAGGAAAAAAAACTTTATTTAAAGTTTTGATGTTACATCCTATTAGAACAATCTCATCAACAATTTAAACTTCTCCAAAGTTAAAGTCTTCAGCATAAACATACCAAAACAAGACACAAAGAAAATAGGAGAGTTAAAACATATCACACTTTAGCCACTAGTGTAGAGAATGATCGAGTAGTCACGCATATACAACAACATAGCTTAATCATACAATAATTAAGATTAATTATTCCATTAATAACAATATAAGAATCAAGTTACATCATAACAATACACGTAGAAAGACATACTACTAGGATCTAGTTGAGATAGCTAAGCCTGCAAGATACATCACATGCTCATGAGAGCAGGACTAAGACTCTCAAATCAAGTTATCTCCAAGGTTGGTTCCCAGACTTTTATACAAGGGACCTTTCCTAACGATGTATTTCATATCATATCCTTCAAAAACATTTTATGCATATGATGGATGTCAAACAGTCTTTATGCATAACATTCAGATGGTCTTATACCATAACACATCACACATCTTATCATATCACATCATTTTTAATCCTCACTTAAACTTCTCATCATATTATCCTCTCATTATCCATACACATCAAATGCATCAATGTTAAAGCACATCAATCAATTCATACATAGCTCACAATATGTCATATCAATGGCATACTCATACACTATAATCAGTTATTAAGTAATACAATGATTACACAACATCATCAAATACACCTCAAATAAAAATCACTATGAGATAGTTTAATCATATGTTATCACTTTAACCATAGCCACTAAGATCAATGTCACTAAGAATTTCTAGCAACTTTATCATTGTCACACATGAATTCCTTAGATATCACAATCATTAGAATATCTCAAGTCATTAACAATCAATTTACATCATAACCTATTAACAATTGTTTTCTACCATAATTCATCATTTCTAAACATTGATATAAGTACCTCAAATCATTCATAAGATCAAACACTTAAAGGGTAAAACTACTTATTATCTTCATTACAAACTACATTTCTACAACTTAACCTTCTAAGACATTGTGTGATCCAAACATCCTATCTAGAGCTATATATATGATATCAAATTGATCTTAATTTTATTAGAAAAATAAGATAATTATTTCCAATTTCTATGTTGACCCCAAAAGCTAATTATGTCATCTATTATTTAAAAAAAATATACAAAATCGTAATGTTTCAGCCTAAACTTTATAGCTTGACATCCTCTCATTAATTTAATGATAACTTGATTTCTAGACTTATTTTTTAATTGATTCTAACGAGATTTGAAAGCTAACATTTAGGGCGATAACTTTTATGAAGATTAAAAAAACCTAATTCTGTCATTTAAGTTTTACTCGAAAGGCTCACAACGTATATATGTTACATTTTGCGCACAAAATATGAGGTTCATCTTTTAACTCACATAACTTGGTCATCCCATAACATTTTTATGTGATTCTCGAGTTTAAATTGTAACCCAAAATGTGTACTTTTAACTCAACAATCGAAACTCAATTTCATTAATCACACATAGAGGAATCATATAAATACCAAGGTATGTTCTTACCAAAATTTTCAAAACAAGGCACAACCAACATTCATATTCTTTTTTCACAATTCAATCGGTAAAAACATAAATTAAAGCCTAATACTACTCAATTATACCATCAATTACTTGAATACAACATCAATTTCACATTCTAATTACATACTCTTAATAACTACTCACATAATAATCACTTAGGGTTCTCACAGGAACCTATAGGCAATTCAAATTTCACAATTATATGTTTATTCACAAAATTAGAGACATATAAAACTACACCACATCAAATAGAACAATAAAAAAAAATCATATGTAAGATCAAAAAATACATAATAAAATTATTTGAGAAAACCCCCTTCATATAATACAAGCAACAGAGAAGAGATTGGGGACAAATCTCACTACCTAACATACATTTGATACTCAGAGTGAGATTACTCACTCTCTCTTTATTTTGATGAACGCTTGATGAAGGACGTAGATCTTTGAGGTATTCTCCTATGAGCTCTGATTCTCCTTCACATTATTCGGAACGAGAGAAAATGAGAAGCGTAAAAAATAAAAGAAAGAATTGTTGTGACCCATTTTTAAAAATTTAAATCTTTAGTAAAAAATACTTTAAACATAATTATCTTTTTCTTTCCATTAAATATTAAAAACTTATGAATAGGTAATATATCAAATAAACATATTTCTTCCAATCTAGATAATTATAACAAGATACAATAATTAATTAATAATTAACAAATATATAATATATAAAATAAATCTATTTCTTTCAATACAATTATAATTAAAATAAAGTATATAAACAATTACAATAAAAATACATACTTTTTTTCAAATACTTATTATAACAAAATATCATAAAAATACATATTTTTCTAATAAATATTTTACAAAATAATTTTTTTATAAATATTTATTATTTAATTAAAACACTCATAATTATTATAAGAATATAAAATATTTATAAAATCCACTTAATTAATTAAAACAATTGTAATAAAATAATTCCAATAAATATAAAAAATAATAATAATTAAACTATTATATTAGTAGAAAATTCGGAATATTACACATATCCTTATTGTAAGTTGTTTTATTGTTAGAAATGAAGTATTGATGATGTTAAGATGAGTTTTGTTAGTTTAAATTTGAGTTTAGAGCTTGTAGGTGAGCTTGAGATGGATTAAAAATACCTGAAAACCCCAAAATCGTGAGTAAAAGAGATGATATTTGTCATGAATCCACTAAACAATTTTGAAATGACCAAACATGATTGGGTATGAGAATAAGGGTGTCTTTGGAAGTAATCCATTAAGTGGATTTGAAAGGGTTGGACAAATTTGAAAGGGTTTGGCATAATTGAAGTAGAAACTACTTGATTCAAAGTTCGCTAAACGAAATTTATTGCATTGAGTGGATCAGTGATTTTTTAATTAGACTTTCTTATCTTCATAAAAGTTGTAGCCCTATATGTTAGATTTCTAATGACTTTCGAATCACCTAAAAAAGAGGTATAAAACTCAAGTTATGACAGTTTTAGTAAGTAAATGTCAAGCTGTCAGCTTCAGACTAAATTATTACGGTTTTTGTGATTTTTAGTATAGTAAATGATGAAGTTAGAACTTGAAGTCTTCATAAGAGTTGTAGATATCCTTTTTAGCTTTCATATGAGATAAAGTTGAGTTTGATTGTATTAATGGAACTCCAATTGTGTTGTGTTATGTGAAAATTGTCATTCTATATTAGTGGATGACTACATCTAATAAATGACATATGTTAATTCTCTTGTAGCATATGATAATGTTTGATGCTATTATAAAGATGCACACATTGCTTAAGTTTCCTATTGTTTTAAGTTTCTTATTGAGGTAGGTTGATTAAGTAGTATGATGTCTTGAGTTATTAAATATTGAAATATGATGAATTGTTGATATAAATGATGATATATGACGATATTTAAAGTTGTTTATTGATGATAATTGATGAAGTTGATCAAATTATAAGATGTATGTTTCTTTAAGTTATTTGTACAATTGAATGATAATATGGTGCTGATAAATGTGTTACTAAAGTTGTAAGTTGATAAAGTTGTATAATAAGTGGCATGCTGCTAAAGTTGTTAAGTTGATAAGCTATAACCATGTGAGTTAAATACATGTCGTAACTACGATACATAAAAATTAGAGGGAAATAAAGTTGTTTTCAAAATTTGAATATCCTATTGCGTGGATATACATTGCGGTGCTTCCCAAGTTTGGTTGAAACTCTTTAGTAGGTAAGTTAACATTTAAATGGGTAAGTTGTTTTCAATTATCTCCTATATGTTTTATGTGGTATTTGTATGGGGTCAAGTCGAACCATACGTGTATAAATTGACCAATCGAGTAAACTATTGGGTCGAAGACTTAGTCTCAAACCTAATATTGGAGGGGTGTAGTACTTGGAGGGTAGTCATTGGGGTAATCTCATATGTGACTTAGTGTTGTAGACTAATCCCATGGTAGACTCATATCCAACTTGCTCTACCTTGATAATAGTACTATACTTTTCAGTTTAAGTGAGAAAACCTAATAACTCAATATTATGTTATCTATACCTAACACTCTTTAAGACCTACTGTTGTCTATACCTAACCTATTTGAGATAGATCAAATGTTGTAGTTTGATAGTAACTAACCACTTAAGTTGCTCACCTCAGTTGTAAGAGATTTCTATAAGTTGATATGTGTGATGATGTATTAGTTTTTTTAAAGTTGTTTATGACGTGATTGAAGTTGTTGTGCTGAGATTGTTATACATGTTGTAAGTTTACTAGTTGTTGAAAGTTGTGATTGAAGTTGATTCAATTGTTTAGTTATTTTTAGTTAATTATGAGACTGGTGCTCCAATTGATGTTATGCTTAAAATTGAAGAATTATGCCAAGTTGTAGTTATGTTATAAGTCGCTATATTGCCATTATATTGTGTTAATGTGTTGTATTAAGTTGGAAGAATTATATTGCTACGTTGCCATGTTGCGAATTAATGATAAGTTGTGGTTTTTACATGTTGAGTTGTATGTTGATAAAACTATTAAGTTGTAAAGTTCATGTTGTATGATGTGATGCGTTGTTGAATTGAGCTTTAAGTTGCGATTGTGTTGATTTATTGTTATGGTAATTTCTTTCACAAACTTATCCTTGCTTTCCATGTGGTTGAACTACAATGATTATATTTGGATGAGAATGAAGTAAGATTAGGTTGACATGTTTGGTGGATAGTTGTGCTGATGATGACTTTTGTGTTTTTGTTGTGTTATTTTGATATAACAATCGTGTAAAGATGCTTGACTAACAATAGGGCTTGTGGTTTCAGTAAAAGTTGTCGAGGACTATTTTATGTTTTCTACACCATATACATATATATGTTACAAAGATGTCCAGGTACTATCACGTGTTAACCCTATAATAACAAATTCTTTTAGTTTTATGTTGTATTGTTACTGTGTTGTAATAAGTGTAGTAATATGATGAGTCATTACATTTAAATATATAAATAATATTTTAAGTTTATGATAAATAATATATATTGTAGCACAATATTATTGTTATTTATTAAAAATTTATTTCAAAATATTAAAGTTTAATTCATAAATAACTATAATAAATAAAACTTGAATTATTTAAAAAGTTAAATTTTTTTGGAAAACCTTTTCAGCTAAAAAAAATCCCAAAAGATATTTTCACGTAAGATACATATTCATGTTTAATATATAGAAATTGATATAAAAATTAACAAATAAGAAAAAAATTAAAAATTAATTCTTTTAGTAAAATATATAATGTTAATTTTATTATTTAATTATTCTTAAATTTAAATTAATTAACTATTAACTAAATTGGTTTTTAATAATTAAAAAAATGAGAATATAAAAAAATCTTAACTATAATATATATAATAATGCAAAAGGTATAGGCATAGTTTTAAAAACCGGACCGGTCATCGAACCGGTTAAAGTACTGGGTCAGTGGGTCAAAAGTTGAACCAAAAGGTCACTAGTTGAACTGCATGACTCAATTTTTATTTATTTTTATTAAAAAATATTCATATTAAATATATTTTATACTTATAAATTTTAATAAATTCATATCTTATTTTAAATTTCAAATTTTCTATCTTATTTAAAATTATTTTTATTTTTATTTTGTAAAAAAATACATAAAAAATTACATATTAAACTGTATATTAATACAAATTAAAAATATAAATAATATGTACATATATAATATGCTTGCAATTGGTATCACAAAATAATATATGTAATATCTACATAGATATTATATTATTAAATATATAATTTAAAATTAATAATATACTATAAAAGTTATTTAAGTTATATATATTATAAACAGATACATTAGAACAAGTAGTCATTGTTATATTTAATAAGAATCTTTGTTCTTCCATTAAGAAATTTAATTTTCATTATTATTTTTGTGGTTTATGATCCCTTAAAAAATAAAAAATAAAAAAGAAAAAAAAGTGGTTGAACCGGTTTGACCTACTAGTTTACCGATTGAACCAGAAAATTGACCGGTTCAATCCGATTTAAAACAGGTGACTACATAACTGATCCAACTTAAGATTCGGACCGGTTGGACCCCCGGTTTCCGATCCAACCAATCCGACCAGCCGGTTCGATCCGGATTTTTAAACACCGGGTACAGGTGGCAAGTTTCATTCTTGAATTCAAACTTAAATCTACTCAAAGTAAATTTTTCCTACCAAATTGGAATCATTCAAGTTTACATGCTATGTCTAATTAAGAATCACACGCTTGGAGTATACTTTTTTTATTCTCTCTCTTTTACGTATTCATTTTCAAAGACGATGCATAAATTAAAATACATATTAAAGTTTTCAATAAAATTAAAATTATTTACAGGCTTTAATTTTATATTAATTATAATTTCTCTCTTAATCATAATTTATAAAAAGAATGCAAAATATTTAAAAGTTAAGAAAAATAAAAAATAAAAGACTATTTTTTTAAAATAACATGTAATAAAAATTCTTTTAAAGTAAACATGAAAAGAAAGATTTTAGTTTTTCACATTTAATTTCTCTTGTTTTTTTAAAGATTTCCTACATTTATTCCAATACTGAAAATACAGTTATGTTAAACAATCTAAGAAGAATTTTGTTGTTGAAAATAGTTATATATATATATATATTTTTTTTTTTTTCTTTTTCTTTTCTTCTAAACTAAAACAAAATTTCCTCCATCTATTTTTATCGTATTATTCATTATATTATATTTAATCTGTCTCACATCATCACATCGTGATATACAAAGTTACAAAATGCAAAAAGATATTGGTCATAATCAATAAAATGAGAAGAATGAACCAATGCACATTCCGAGAAAAGGTGGCAGCTGAAAGTATCCGGTTTGGCTGAATAAAGGGTACAACGGTCATTGTCCTGTACACATTTCATCATTTCCTTCTTCCAAACGCAACAATTAAAGTGTTGAAGCCTTGCTTGGTGGAAGAGTGGTGTCGTAGGGGCACAGCACATTTATTTTCATTCATTGACACTAATCTAACACAATATTTCATGTGCCAAATACGAGATCGCCATTACCACAACATTGACTAGTGCTAGTGCTTGCATAATTGCATTCCATCCTTTACCATGCTTCTCTGAGGAAAAGAAAAAGAAATACTAATAGATTTTGGTTACTCCGAGGAAAATTTGAAAAAAAAAATAAAACATGTCGGAGGCTTTGATCAATGGATTGGCTGGAGCTGGAGGAGGGATCATTGCTCAACTCATCACATACCCACTTCAAACTGTACGAATATGGTTTCAAAAATTTGTTCTTTTTCCCTTTTTTGTGAAAAAATTTCCACTGGGTCTTCATTTAAGGTGCTAGAGATTTAATTTTTCCGCGGTGATCTGCAGGTAAACACTCGTCAACAAACCGAGCGTGATCCGAAGAAAGACAACAGGAGTCAGGGGACCCTCGAAAGAATGTGCCAGGTTTATATTTTTTACCGATTTGTTTTTAGCTGAGTTTAATTTTATTGATCTTTTGTTTGTTGTGGTTGGTAATTGTGTTTGTGGGAAAAAAATGTTGTAGGTTGTGAAAGAAGAGGGGTGGGAGCGGTTGTATGGAGGCTTGATGCCATCACTAGTGGGTACAGCTGCGTCTCAGGCGAGTTTTTTTTTTTTTTTTGACACCCTTTGTTCATTTTATTATTAAAACATCCATTGTAATTTTAGTGATTTTATTATTAAACATCCAGTGTAATTTGAGTGATTTATCTCATTTGATCGTTGAATCAGTGGAAAAACTGGAATGTAGGAATTCTTGTAACGGATTTGTTTTGAGGATGTTATAGTACAAACGTATTTTTTTTAACCCTCTCTTCGCATGATTAATAACAAAGAAAATTGAAAGCAGTTCAATTGGTTTCTGTATTAATTGTTTTTCTGGAAGAAATATTAACAGAAGTTTGACTTGATGAACTGTGTTTGAAACTTTGACGTCTGTGTCCAATTTTTGTATGCTCGTTTCTCTAGTTTTTCGTGTTAAATCTATTAAAAATGTGAAAGTAAGTTATTTTTGCTTCGATTACGCGCATCAGTTTTTTTTCCTAACGCCCATCCAAACATACCGGATGTAATCGTCACAAGCCAACAGGGGAGTCTGCTGTTGATTCATGGGATTAATACCAATGTAGTTGTTACTCTCCAGGTTTGCTCTCCATATTATTGTCAAAGACTCGGTTTAATTGTTTTGAGGTTTGATAAAATAGACAAGGAAAACTAGTTACTTCTTTGACTATATGACTTATTTATTGACATATAGTCTGATTAGATACAAACTTGAAAGTATTTTTGAGAACTTCTCTACCGGAAATAACACTTTATTTTCAGTAAAAAAAATAATTTCAAAAACGCTTCTAACTTGTATTCAAATACGCTCTTTATGAAATTTTGTGATTTTGGTATATTATTGAATTGATTCACCAGAAGGCAGAGATACAGGTAAATACTAATCTGATACAAGAGGTCCTAATATATTTCCTATAATAAAGCTGAATCATCTATAAATCAGGAAATAGAAATCAAATCATATAAATACAATATTCACAAGATTAATGGCCTATTCTAAACCTGATTTCCTTCAACACTCTTAATAGACTTCATGCCCGTTTGTTTTAGATGTGGGTAGAATTGATTTTGATAGAATTGATTTTAAACAGTTGAATGTGATTGGGATGTGTGTCCAAATTAATTTCAATCTCAAATTTTACACTGAAACGCTTGCCTGGGAAATTGATTATAGTTGTAAACCAAATGGGCCCCTTGTTTGATCTTGATGGTCAGTAGTGTAGCTTGTAAACCTTGAAAATAGATGGAAGTTTTCCAACTAGCCTTGGTTCTTGCATGCTATATGGTAACCTGTTTGCTCAATGTTCTGTTAGGTTTCAATGTTTTAATATTTCACAATTTTATGGTACAGGGTGTTTACTATTATTTCTATCAAATATTCAGGAACAAAGCCGAAGCAGCTGCACTAAACCAAAAGAAAATGGGCATCAGTGATGGATCTGTTGGGATGCTCTCCTCACTTCTTGTTGCTGCATTATCTGGGTACTTTGTTTTCAAGCTCACTAGTTTGTTATTGCCCTTTGCCCCAGCAAATTTAAGTTATTGAATACAAGTTTTTTTACATCCACAGCAGTTAGTTTGCCATATTAACATCATAAATGTGGTTGTAAAGGTTCTATTTCTATGTTTCTCAAATTTAACCATGTAAAAGAGTTGCTGAAGTGACCTTCCCATAAGCATAAACTCTTTACTGCCGATCATGTTGCTTGAAAGTAGAAACTACTGATTATGTCATGTCTCACTGGTTCAGTACTCATGTTGCTGGATTAATCTTTTTGTAGGTGTGTTAACGTGCTCTTGACAAATCCCATATGGGTAGTTGTTACCAGAATGCAGGTAAATTGCTAGTTATCCATCTCTTGTTCTCTCTTTCTTTCTGCTTTCATTCCCCTCCCTGCATATCCTAACCCTTGTTTCTCTTTTTTCTTGGTATACACTAAACATTATAACGAGAATAATTAATGTAGATATCTTCTGGAAAATATTCCTTTTCTCCTGATTTTATTTCCGTGTCTGAATATTTAGAATAACAAAATTATTAAGATTGTTGCTAAGGATGTGTATTTCCTTTCTGATAAGCTAAAGCATTTCCGAAAGTATTTCAATTTTGTACATCGATAAGCTTGGAAGGAGAGTGATCATGGATTTGAATGCTAGTTTGGACTGCAAAAGGTTTTGAGCTTTCATGGATTTGGAAACTGTTTGGGACCTGTGTATTAGGCACCAAAACTGATTTTTTTAGGTTTAAGTGTTGCAGTATAGAATGTGATTAATTGTTTTCTTTTGCTATGTGTTTCTCAAAGTTATCAAAATTATGTGTACTTCTCCTTGCCTCACTCAGCTAGTAAAAGTCGTAGATTCTTATCTTTTTTAGTTTATATCAAAAACTATTTTTACTGTGCAGACACATAGAAAAGAGTCGAATGGAACTCCATCTGATCGGGGATTGTTAGTTGCCACTGAGCCACCAATTCTTTCTGCAGTTGAGCCTCTTCCTTATGGAACTAGCCATGTGGTAAGTAAAGTCTATATGGAAATCTTAAGTAATTTAGAGAAGTTACCCTATATTCTCTACTCTAATAAGATTAAATGTTTGGAAAACTAATCTTATAGTCTTGATTAGTATAGTAGGATTTTTATAGTTGGAATAGATTCTCTGAAAATATTCCAAAAAAATTGATTGATGATTTATGATTATCATTATTTCCCCCTTTTTATAATATGCATAGTTCTACTAGTCCTGATAATGCTTGGGGATTCCTAATGATGCTGTTATTCTTTTCAACCCCTCTAGTTTCCTTTTGTATGTTGATATTTGAAATTTTGAATGCAATTTTTCAGATTCAAGAAATCTTTGATGAAGCTGGAATTTGGGGTTTCTGGAAAGGTGTATTACCAACATTGATCATGGTATGTTGAAAGTGAATCTCTTTCATGCTGAGGGAGCATTACTGATTGGTTGTTCCTTAAATTCAGGTAAGCAATCCTTCCATACAGTTCATGCTGTATGAATCCATGTTGGCGAAGTTAAGAAAAAGACGTTCTTTGAATCAGAAGGGTAGCAATGGGGTAACTGCTGTAGAGGTATAATGTCATTTTGCAAACTAGATAACATCTCTTGAATGATGTTATATTCACACTTATATTATCTCTTATGTTGCCTTTAATTTTTTTTATTACATTGTCGTATTAATATTCCCGTATGATGCTAGATATTTCTTCTTGGAGCTTTAGCAAAACTTGGAGCTACTGTTGTAACTTACCCGCTCCTCGTTGTTAAGGTATGTCACGCTAGCTTTCTCTCCTGGTTGTGAAATATAATTAGCTTTCTATGATGTTGGTTTTATTTGGCTAAATGGGAATTTAGAACTATATTTTTTAAACTTCAGAGCTGGAGAATAATGGTAAAAGCTACCATGAAAAATGTAGATTTCTTGTTAGGTGATGATGCCTATCAAACAAAAATGCAGAAATGCGATGTTTAAATTACATGTGAAAGATAAAGAAGAAAAATTCTAAGCTGGCCGCAGCCTTTTTTATATTATACTGTTGAAGAAAACAAAAAGAAGCATGAACCAATTTGAAGAGTTAACATGGAATTTTGGGATCACAAAATGCTGTAATGTTGCATATAATTCACCTTTGTATTTTTCTAGGACCTTGTGGCCATTATGATATTGTACAGTTAGAATGTTGTAAAGATGGAGGAGATCTGATTATATATTTGTCTGTTGCATTATATGAAAATTTTAATTCAGAACCATTTATGTTTATGATATACATATTTAGCGATAATGAGCTTCATATTTTTAATATGTTTGACATTGTAATAATCTGTCACCAATAATTTTTAAATTTAATGTAGATTTTAGACAATTGTATCATTTACATTATTTTATTCACTTGTTTTAAATATGGTGGATGATTTATTATAAATTTATAATTTACTGAATGTGTCTTATTTTAAAAATTTGTTGTGTTTGCATGTGGTTGATCTGTGTGACATTGATGTCCATTATTAACTAGATGTAATGAATGGGGAAGACTGAGAAAATGATCTCTGTCAAAAATGCTTTTCTCAATTTCTTACTGTGAAGCACCAATACGTTCTATCACTTCACATATTTGCATATAACATCTTTCGTATACTTCACCTAAAAATTTGTCTGTGAAGTATCAAAGTCTTAAATAAAAAGTTATGGAATATAATATACATACGTGTTATCAATAATAGATAACGGCCTATGATAATGAGCCCGAAAATTGGCCATAAACTTATGGTGGATGGTGTGATGGCCTATGGGGGAAGTCCTGACTAACAAAAAATTACATATATACATGTTTACAGAAACTAAAAGAATTGCAAAAATAAATTGGAAACATTATGAATATATTAGCAACAGCAGACTTAGACTAAAATCTTGAAAGAAAAATGTCATAATTCATTAGTCTCATAATCTTATCACAAAAAGTCATAAACATAATGTTATGACAATATGCATAAGAAAGAGATCAAGAGAAAGAAGACGACATACAAATTACGTGGTTCAGTCAATGTGACTTACGTCAACGGGCAGTTCAAGAGTTTTTTATTTCTGAATGAGCAGAGATATTTGATACAAATGTCTTTTAGCCTTATAACAAGGATAAAATATAACAGTCCCTTAATACTCCATTACAATCCAAATAACAGATGAAATAGTAAGGACAAAATATGAATTCAAGGCATCTCAACATATAATTAAATGTTCTCATCCTATGTCTAAGGAGGCATGACTTTGAGTTTGGGTGCTAACATCACATGTTTAACAAAAAAAACACAGAACAAAAGAACAATAAACACCATTTTGAAACTATACAAACAGAGAACTAAACATTGAACATTGAGCATTGAAGAGATGAAGAACCATAACAGTCAGTGGTGTCACACAGAGAATAAGAGACAAAACAAAACCAAAAACAGAAGGAAAAAAAAAAGCGAGGAACATTTGAAGAACGGAACAGATGGAGAACAGGTAAAAAAATAATTTAAAAAATGGAAGGAATAAAAAAAAAGGAAAAAATACTGTTCTATCTTGTTGGCGGACAGCACTATATAACATTAAAAAACAGATGACGAATATTGATGAAGCTCCAAACCACCATGTTATTCCTTTTATAACGGTGCCATTACAATTTTTTGACAACTTTGATCATACGAGCCATTGAAGAATGTACATTACAGAAGCATAGAAGTATTGTCCCTTAATGAATTAAAAAATGGAAATTGTCCTCTTTATGAATAATCTCAAGAAAAGAATGAGATGGATACTATTCCTTTTTCTTATTAATAAACAATAGGAAGTAATTTACCATGATAGTTATTGATAGTTTTCATTGTTATTAGTCATGTCCACCAAGGAGTACATTCTTAATAAGGAAAGAGATGGATACTATTCCTATTTCCTATTTATAAACAATAGGAAGTAATTTACGATGATAGTTATTGATAATTTTTATTATTTTTAGTAATGTCCACCAAGGAGTACATTCTTAATTTGGATCTGTATGACTGCAATCGTATATTTATCATGCTTTATGAATTTTTATACATATCTAGATATATATATATTTTACACGTATTGTATCTAATATATTTTTTTGAATAATCGTATTGGATACATGTTGAATCTTTGCATCATAGATTTCTTACTTTTATGTTATTTGCACAGGCAAGGCTCCAAGCTAGGCAGGATAAAACTGGAGACAGGAGGCACCATTATAAAGGTTTAAGTTATGATATTTTGTTATGCCTTGTTTAGCAAGAGAGGTTATGAGACTTTATTGCTGAAGTTTACAAGTTATTATTAATATTGTCCTTTTTGTTGCTCTTGTCTCATCCACACACGCTTATATGAACAAACTTCCATTCTGAATCCAGTTAATTGAATATTAGTTTCAAGTTCTTGAAGTTTGACTCTCGCTTCACAACTCTTCCTTTCTTCTCTAAAGTTGCATAGTTTTCTTTAAATTCAGGTACATGGGATGCTATTATTAAGATGATCCGCTATGAAGGGTTTGATGGGTTTTACAAAGGTATGGGCACCAAGATTGTACAAAGTGTGCTGGCTGCTGCTGTTTTGTTCATGATGAAGGAAGAACTAGTTAGGGGGGTTCATTTCTTGCTTGGTAAGAATTCAGCCAACACTGTAAAGCCAAAGAATCTATGATTGGAGGCCATTAAAACTTGATCAAGATTTCATGTACCATCTTTAGTAGACAAGTTAGTTCATAAAGTAGGGGAACTAGAGTGATTCAAACAACATTAAAATATGGTTGTAGCTGTATCTTGATTATTTTCATCAGGCTTGTTTCCGTGATGGAAATTCCTGCCAAAAATTACATGATGGATTCATTGGTTCGTTTCAAGAACAAAACAGTGTCGTAGGTTGAGTATGCTGCTGAAACCCTGAAGCAAATATTCCTTTTTACGAATAGGAATATAATACGAACCAAATATTATTGTCACCATCAAATTTCATCGGTAGTCTAGTGGATAAATGAAAAATGCAGATCGCAAAAGACGACATATGCTTCGACTATTCTATTCCTTTCACCAAAACAAACAAGCACAAAGGGTCTCAACCATGTAAGAATAAACAACACCCTTGAGCAACAAGGTCTGTTATAGTTGATAAATAACTTTGTTTCTTAAATATAATGTTAGGGGTATGATTTCTGAGCGATGTATATGGAAAAGCAGAAAAAGAACTCATTAGAAAAGGTAATCTTTTAAATAAATCTTAGTATCTAAGAAGTTTAGTCCTTTCATCTAAAAATATTTTGGATTACCAAAAAATAAATAACACGTTTTTACCCTCCAATTCAATCAATAATCATGTTCACTTACCAGTAGCATCGCCACTAACCTCCCATTTTTCTTTTCCTTTTAAAACGTGGGATTGGATTATAATTTGAATCAACCCATTAACAAAATTCAAGACAACTCCACAAAATGTTTCAGTTAGAATTAACTTTTGATTTTACCGAAATCAATTACAAAATCATGTTGAAGGCCAAAACAATAGTAAGTAACTTCAACCTTTTCAATTTATCATCGTGATTTTGAGGGTCAAAATTGATTCTAGGAGGTATTCAAATGTGCTAATGATATTTAAAATTTTATATTAATATTTTAGATTTCATAAAAAAGTTATCATACAAATTCTTAATATATTTTTATCTTTTATTAATTACATTTCTCTCTCATCTATACTCTTAATATTTTCTCGCTCACAAAATAATAAAAAATACATTTAATTATTCAATAATACTATAAAATGACAATTGAAATAGAAAAAAACAAATATACTAAAACATTAAAAAAAATGGAACAGAGAGTGATGACAACAAATCAAGCTTTCACTAACTTTAGAGCATAATTTGTTCCCGTGTTTAAGGTCCAGATGTCCCACCCATGTCGTACCTAGGCCCATTTAAGAATGACTCACTAACTAATCAGGGGTGTTATTATTAATTTACTCGTTTTTTTTAACAACTTTAAAATCCTTTTTACTATTTCTTAAACAAAACAAAACATTGCCAACGATACAGGATCTGTCCTTCACCACCATTGCATACAATTTTTTGTATTACGCAACACTTTTTACATTAAGCATCTCACGTTTTTTATTTTTATAATTATTATTATCTTGATATTTTTTTTTATTTCTCTTAAATATTAGTATTTTAGAATTTAGAGGATGCTGGATGCATTGCCTTCTTTCTCCTTTATTCCCAGAAATTACACCTTCTTATCTGAATCCTAATGTACTAACCAACTCCTTTGAATTCCTACAACACTTGGGGACTGTGATATCTTATCTTCCTTTGATTCCTTGAACAACTCCAAAATTGATGATAAGTAAAGTGAGATCTGTTAGCAAATAAATAAATTGGCTAGAGTTGACTCATGGAATAAATGGCCCTCAGAACAGGTGGTTTGTGTCTGCCCGTATTGACATGCGGGTCGATGGGCCAGCTTGCCAGACTTTAATATTTTTAAAAAATGGAAAATGTTTTTTAATTAAAAAAATCTTTAAATCATGTATAAAAAATAAACTGAAAATTACATTTTTTAGCTATTAAGTAATGGCAAAACCTTAAGAAAATATTTTTCATCATATAAACATTTAATAAAATGTAAAAGACCAAGTATCATCTACGTTAATAAATTGTGAATATTCAAACACTTTATATGTAACAATTAAACATCAAATTTCTAACACTAAAATACATTATGATTTCTTGGATTTCACCACTTAGATTAGGAAAGTTTAGTATTCTTGTTAAGGATAGAAACAACTTAGGTGTGAGTCTACGGGATTTCGTATTGTCTTTTGATTCTTCAGACTTCCTTTTGATCTTACAAGTTCTTTCTTTCTTTCTTTTCAAAGAACTTAACCCCCCCTTTAACCTTTTAGTTAGAAACGTCAATCATAGTTATTCCAAAAATTCCTTTCCTTATTTAATAAATAATTAAATAATATAACCTTTAATTATAAAACCTCACAATAAATTCAAATAAAAATAATTACCAATAGTTACTAAAACCAACATATTTATTGATCACAAAATATAGCTAATTAATAATAAAATAAATATTAATCAGCTCTGATCAGTAAAAATAAAAATATCAAAATTATTAATAAAATATTTATATTATATTTTATGAAAAATAGGGTGTTACATGGTCGATAAGTCCTTAAAATATTTTTTGTTGTATTTGTGTTTATAAATTTTAACTCTATTATGCAAGTTAATCTTTCTATTATAACTAATTACTAACTTTGTTAATTTCTTATACAATTAGTAATTAAGTGTTAGGTTAACACCTATTCTCTTTCAATTGATTTTTCTCTCTCCTAATAACCTAATATGGACCATAATGCAAGGATTTTAGTACTTTTCAATCACCAATGAACACTTTATCGTGATTAAATATTTTGGCCATTGGTACTTTGATTAAAATGGAAGGTTGTTGTTGGGTTTTATAAGGTTTCTTGTACTTAGATTTTTTTGTCTCATCCATCAATAATTTTTTTCATTTGTTTTGGCTATAGTTTTAGGATTGTTAATCCTAAATTATTGAATTCGGATTTTAGCGAAATGAGTTGTTGTTCTAAAAGATCTCAAACAATGATGCATAAATCGAATATGGGTGTTTCTACTATGTGTATTGAATTGCAAAACTCCTTTGGTAGAAGCACCTAAGAGCTTAGTGGTAATGATCCTCTATACTACTGTTGCAACAATGTCTGTTATGGGTTTCATGAACAACTAGAAACCCAGGGAATTTTTTTTCACTTGTCCTTTCCAAAAGGTATCATAATTTTGTTATTGATGATTCTATTTTTTTGGGTTTTCTTTCCACTTAATAGTTTGGCATTCGAGTTGTCTTTACTGGTGTAGGCTCATTCAAACAACTACAATTTCTTTCTTTGACAAATGGACACAATGAATAGAAACCTAGGAGAGAGAATACATGCCATTATGGCAATTAACTATTGACTTGTCATGAGACCTACAAAATTAGTAACTAACAAGTATAACTGTAACAGCCCAATTTTCACTGGGCCAAGGGCCCAATTAAGGTGGATCAGTAGCCCGGAACGGGCAATTCCAAAATTGGAACGGGCCGTTCCAAATGACTAAATATACCTATGTTTGATTTCCCAGAACGGGCCGTTCCAAATGATGAAAATGAACCCATTTTTAAGTAGCAGAATGGGCCGTTCCAAAGTAGAAAATTTGCCTATTTGGGTTGTTCCAGAACGGGCCGTTCCCAAAGTGAAACGGGCCGTTCCGGAATAAGAAAAATGCTTAAAATATTTTAGTTGGAACGGGTCGTTCCAGTGGAAAATTTTGTGTATACTTGAAGGTTCCGGAACGGGCCGTTCTGCTTTTAGTACAGGCCATTTCGGTAGGTGAGCCAGAATTCCTATAAATAGGCCCTCATTTCTCTCATTTTGACACACCTTCTCTTCCTTCTCTCTTATGCTCTTCTTTCCTCTTCTTCTCTCTGAAGACCAAGAGGAACTCAGAAGATGAGGTTCTGCCCCAGTTTTAGTCCCGGTCCTTGTTTAAGGAAAGAAAGGAGGAGGTTATGCCCTAGTTCCTATTTATCCAGGTACGGGGGAAAAGGAGATTATTTATATGTAGGGTTACATAAGGGAATTGGGTAGAGGAAGAGCCCTTAGGGTTATGAATAATTTTATAATTATTTCTGTTTGGAGAATTAATTGTCTTATGTGATTCTATATATATTTAGGACTACGAATATATGTTTAATTTGTAAAAATGATGCTCTGGGAGAGAGAACGAAACTATAGAAAAGTGCCTGTAAGTTAGGTTGTGAAAATTGGATGATTTCTGTTTGAGGAATTGAGGATCTCATTAGATTCTGTATGTGTTGAGGATTATAAATATGCTAATAATTTGTAAGAATGATGATCTG